TTACTCCTTCTGAGTGATTGTAAATTATAAACTATTTTCTTTTTTTTAAATTAATTAATTAATTAATTATTTTTTTAAAAATTTTATTTTTTATAAACATATAATATATTTTTATCCCCAGGGATACAGGTCTGTGAATCGCCAGGTTTACACACTTCACAGCACTCACCATAGCACATACCCTCCCCAATGTCCATAATCCCACCCCCCCAACCCCCCTTCCCCCATCAACCCTCAGTTTGTTTTGTGAGATTAAGAGTCACTTATGGTTTGTCTCCCTCACAATCCCATCTTGTTTCATTTACTCTTCTCCTACCCACTTAACCCCCCATGTTGCATCTCCTCTCCCTCATATCAGGGAGATCATATGATAGTTGTCTTTCTCCAATTGATTTATTTCGCTAAGCATGATACCCTCTAGTTCCATCCACGTCGTCGCAAATGGCAAGATTTCATTTCTTTTGATGGCTGCATAGTATTCCATTGTGTATATATACCACATCTTCTTTATCCATTCGTCTGTGGATGGACATCTAGGTTCTTTCCATAGTTTGGCTATTGTAGACATTGCTGCTATAAACATTCGGGTGCACGTGCCCCTTCGGATCACTACGTTTGTATCTTTAGGGTAAATACCCAGTAGTGCAATTGCTGGGTCATAGGGTAGTTCTATTTTCAACATTTTGAGGAACCTCCAGGCTGTTTTCCAGAGTGGTTGCACCAGCTTGCATTCCCACCAACAGTGTAGGAGGGTTCCCCTTTCTCCGCATCCTCGCCAGCATCTGTCATTTCCTGACTTGTTAATTTTAGCCATTCCGACTGGTGTGAGGTGATATCTCATTGTGGTTTTGATTTGTATTTCCCTGATGCCGAGTGATGTGGAGCACTTTTTCATGTGTCTGTTGGCCATCTGGATGTCTTCTTTGCAGAAATCTGTTCATGTCCTCTGCCCATTTCTTGATTGGATTATTTGTTCTTTGGGTGTCAAGTTTGCTAAGTTCTTAATAGATTTTGGACACTAGCCCTTTATCTGATATGTCATTTGCAAATATCTTCTCCCATTCTGTCAGTTGTCTTTTGGTTTTGTTAACTGTTTCCTTTAAGATGATACCCTTTTAATTCCACAGTAATCTATAAAGTAAATGAAATTCCAACCTGACAGAGGTTGTTCCTGGTACTTTACAAGGTAATTCTAAAATTCTTACAAGGATGGACTCACCCAACAAGATACCGGAATTACGATAAAGCTTTGGTATTAGCTCAAGGATTAACAAAAAGACTAATGGAATTGTTGCGGACTGAATGCGTATCCCCCAAATTCACAGGCTGAAATCCTAACGTCTAGAGTGACTAAGCTTGCAGATGGGGCTTCTAGAGTAGTACTTAAGATTAAATGAAATCCTAAGAGTGGGACCCTCATCCAATAGGATTAGTGTCCCTATAAGAAAAGACAACAGCGAGGGACGCCTGGGTGGCTCAGGTGGTTAAGCAGCTGCCTTCAGCTCAGGTCATGATCCCAGAGTCCTGGAATCGAGTCCTGCATCGGGCTCCTTGCTCGGCAGGGAGCCTGCTTCTCCCTCTGCCTCTGCCTGCCATTCTGTCTGCCTGTGCTCGCTCTCTCTCCCTCTCTCTCCCTGACAAATAAATAAATAAAATCTTAAAAAAAAAAAAAAAAAGAAAGAAAAGACAACAGTGAGATCTCCTTCCTTCTTCCTCTCCCTCATCCCTCTCCCCTTGCCTCTTCTCCACCCTACTGTGCACACCATGGAAAGGCCATGTGGGGACATAGCAAGAAGGCAGCCATCTGCAAACCAGGAAGAGAGCCCTCACCAGAAACTGAATATGTTGGCACCTTGATTGTGGATTTCCAGCCTCCAGAACTGTGAGAAGATAAATGTCTGTTGTCTAAGCCACCCAATCTGTGATATCTTGCTAAGGTCGCCTGAGAAAATGAACAAAGGAATAAAAAAAGAACTCAGAAACAGACTTACATACATATGGCAATTCGGTATATAAAAGCGGTAGCATTATAAAACCATTGAACAGAATATTTAATTTAATAAATGTTCCTGGGAATGTGTGTGTGAGCAAGAGAGAGGGAGAAACTATACATCGCATTAAAACCTTACAACAGAAGACATCATAAACAACATTTTTAAAACCAATAAAAAAATGAGATTGGGGCACCTGGGTGTCTCAGTGGGTTAAAGCCTCTGCCTTCAGCTCAGGTCATGATCCCAGGGTCCTGGGATTGAGCCCCGCATCGGGCTCGCTGCTCATCAGGGAGCCTGCCTCCTCCTATCTCTCTGCCTGCCTCTCTGCCTACTTGTGATCTCTGTCAAATAAATAAATAAATAAATAAATCTTTAAAAAAAAAAAAAAGAAAAGAAAAGAAAAATGAGATCAGGGATATGATGAGACCTTTTATTTCTTCTTCTTGTCTGACTGTTCTACTTCGGTCCTACACACTGCTGAACAGGAGTGGTGAGAGTGGGCACCCTAGTTTTGTGCCTGATCTTAGAGGAAAAGCTTTCAACCTTTCGACATTGAATATGAGGTTAGCTGTGGGTTTGTCGTGTATGGTATTTATTATGTTGAGATATGCTCCTTCTATGCCTGATTTGTAAAGAGCTTTTTTCATGGATGGCTGTTGAATTTTGTCAAATGCTTTTTCGTTGTCTATTAAGATGATGATGTGATTCTTTCTCTCATTCTACTAACATGACCTACCACGTGGATTGAGTTGCATACTTTTAAAACCTCCTTACATCCCAAGGACAAATCCTACTTGATCATGGTAGAGGATCCTTTTAATGTGCTGCTGAATTTGGTTTGCTGGTATTTCATTGAGACTTTTTGCATTTCTATCCATCAGGGATTGGTCTGAAATTTTCTTTTCCAGTAGTGTCCTTTTCTGGTTTTGGTATCAGGAAAATGATGGCTTCATTAAATGATTTTGGGAATGGTTCTCTCCTTTTTGACTTTTTGGAAGAGCTTGAAGCCTTGTGTTAATTCTCCTTTAGATGTTTGGTAAAATTCACCAGGAAAGCCATCTGGTCCTAGGCTTTTCTTCATTGGGAGATTTTTGATTACTGGTTCATACCAGGAGGAAATAAGCAAAGAAGACACAGACAAGTGTGTTCACTGCAGCAGAGTTTGTAATAATAATTTCCTAAAAGGTAGAAAACAACCTAATGTCTCTAGTTTGGTTTCTTCATAGACTACATCAGTTAAAATTTGTGAATTCAACATGTATTTCTCAAAATTGATAAATCTTACAAACTTTGTTCAGTTTAAAAAGCCGGTGCTGTGGGGCAACTGAGTGGCTCAAGTCTGTTATGTGTCTGCCTTCGGCTCAGGTCACGATGAGAGCATCCTTGGATGACGACCCGAGTTGGGCTCCTTGCTCAGCAGGGAGTCTGCTTCTCCCTCCCCCTGCTCTTGCGCTCCCTTTTTCTCTCCCTCATAAATAAATAAAATCTCAAACACACACACACACACACACACACACACACACACACCCAATGCTGGGCCCCTTGCGGGGGCTCAGCCAACTGAGGAATTGACTCAATTTCAGCTCAGGTCATGATCTCAGGGTTGTGAGATCAAGTCTCATATCAGGCTCCGTGCTCAGCATGGAGTCCGCTTGAAATTTTCTCCTCCTCCTCCACCACCCCACCCTGCCAACCCTGCACAAGCACTTGCCCTCTCCAAATAAATAAATATATATATTTTTTAAAAAGACAATGCTACAAGATATATTTTATTTAAATTTAAATTTCTGAAACACACAAAACAGCATATACTGCTTGTGAATATATAATATGGAAGAAAATATGAATACACTCCTGGGAAACATATCCATTAGCTCCAACGCGTGTAGTTGCCTGTGAGCAAGGGGTATCAAAGGGCTAGAATGGTGACACTGTAGCTCTGAGAAGTTCTACTTCTGGCTTTTTTTTTTTTAAGCAATCTAAGTAAATATTGCAAGACAGTAACATCTGTTTAATCTCAGTAGTTCATGGTTGCTGGAGGTTGGAATGGGGAATGGGAGGTTTGAAATGTATTAAAATTCAAAAACCTGAAAAAGAAAAGAACAGGCCCTCGACAAGTAGCCAGGGAAGGACAATGAACAGAAAACGGCATCACAGGAACCAAGGGGAAGGGAGGGCGGGCCTCGTCCAGGGCTGCCGTGTTGGCTGCTGCCCAGAGGATTAAGAGGGTGCACAAACTCTGGGCCACCATCACCCCACGAGTGGTGGGGAGGGCAAGCTGTGTTTTGATGGCCATGCTTTGGCCAACTCTAAGCTTGGCTATGTCAGGGAGAGGCTGTGCATGGTGCCTGCTGGGAAAGCGGCCTTTTGCCCAGTCTACAAACATCTGGACCTTATCAGAAAGGTAAGGGAGACAAGTATGGGGCAAATTTAATGGTAAGGCCAGAAGGGATGCGAAGGAGGGCTGATGATGGAGGAGGCAGTGTGGCCTTGCAAAGGGGAGTCTGTCTACGAAGTAAGACGGGAAGGGGGTGTGGGGGCAGGGGTGGAGAAGGCAGCTCCCAGCTCCCAGCTGGGGAGGCCAGAATCCAACGGAGTCTCCTGCCAGCGACACAGCCCACCCAGGATCCAGAGAGGGGAGCTGGCCCCCAGAACAGAAAGATGATGAGGGGTTGTATTGCAATTAAGTTGAACAGTTGTGCATTTACTTAAATGAATATTGGAGGGGGAAAAAAAAAGAAAGAGCCACTAAATGTGTGATTTCAGAGGAGATAGCAGCAGAGGGGTCCATGAAGGCAATTAGGCGCCCTGGGCCTCAACACACAGGGCCCAGCCCTGGGAGCACAGCACATCCACCAGCTGATGCATACTCGTATTCCCACATAGGTTTTTAAAATGAGGCCAAAGTTTGGAAACCATCACCTCCGGGGGAAGCAATGCCAGGCTGGGTGTTGAAGGGGGTTTGGTTCTAGTTGAGGTTGGCTCTCCTACCTCCCACGCTTTCAGGACCTTCTCAATGACCTGTTCGCCTTCATCTTCCTTGTGGGGGCCATTGTCATCGCAGTGAAAAGCCGGACGAGCATGCCGACGCCCTACTTCATTGCTGTGGTGAGTCTTCCGTATTGGGCACTTCATTTGCTCAGAAATCACCTCTTCTGGAGAATGGGTGTTCTCTCCTGACTTAAGGACTTCTTTTCTTTTAAAAAAATCTTGGGACCCAGGCAAAGTTTAAAAGTAAAGCTGGTCAGTGTTTCCAGTGAAGAAGATGTGGTCCAGAAAGTCAGGGGAGCTAAGGGCTTCCTCCTGATCCCTAAGGCAATGGGCCACACCCAGGCTGGGCTTTAAGAGAAGGGAAGAGAGATGCATGGGGCGGGTGTAGGGGGGATAGGGAGGCTGAGATGGGGGGGCAAAATCGGAGTATCTCTGATCTGGAAGTTTGGGGGGACCAAGGGATGTCTTAACCAGCACCTGCTGATGAATTAAAACAAGGAAAGACTATGCCAGCTTTGGAACGAAAAGTAAAAGTTCATTCTTTTGTTTTCCAGATCCTCATCGGTGTGGCTGGACTTTTCGCTTTAATCGATATATGTCTTCAAAGAAAACATTTCAAAGGCAAGAAAGTCAAAAGGAATGTGCTGATTCCCCCTCCACCAAGGGAAAAGCCAAAGGGACCAGAAAAGCCACCGGAAAAGGCAGAAGAAAAGCCCCCGGAAAAGGCACCAGAAAAGGCCAAGGATAAAGGAAAGGGAGGCAAGAAATGACGGGAAAGAGACCCCCGCTGTCAAAGAGATAGCGTGTTTTACCACAAAACATATGTCCGCTGTCTGTCTTGTCTTCTCTCCAGAATGGTTTTCCTTTCCATCCTAATAATCACCTTTGCTTGGAAAAGACATTCCTCTTTAAATGGATTTCAAAGCTTAAAGTTGATGTAAACATTATTTTGTTCAACAAAAGTTTTAGTGCAGAGGTCAAGGCCAGGCCTCGGGCTCTTGGGGTACCTGCAGGGCACATGAGCTTTGGGGGACCACCAGTGTGGGTGACACCAGCTGTCAACAGTGATCAGCCTGAAGGGCCAGAGGAAAACAAGAGACTACAAAAGAAAATGAACATTTTGTTCATATGGCTATTTTTATTCCCCCCCCCTTTTTTTTTAAAAAGCATCCAGGTAGTTCCTATGAGAAAAGTCAGTTGTTGGCGTGCCTACCTCTTACTTTGTAGTTCAGCATTGGTCCTCCTGTGAGGTGCACTCGGGAGGAGGGTGAAGAGCTGGTCTCGTCCCCTCAGGGCTCAGGGCCTCCGAGAGCCACAGTCAGGCTGGCGCATGGGCCAGGCAGGATGGGCACAGGAAGAACTGAGGGGACTCCAAGCAGCCCTCTAGGATCTGCAGTGTCTCCCTCAGTGAGGACCAGGGCATAAGCCCTGAGCCAGGGTCAGCTGGGCCCTGGAGCCACAGTTCTCGCTCAGAGGCCTCAGCCAGGGCCACAGTCTCACTGGACAGACCAGCCATGTGGCACAAGAAGGGTCATCCAGATGACAGGAAAGCAAGGTCCCAAACTGATGCATGAAGAGCTAGAGGAGATGGGGGGGGGAGGAATAATGGGGCACCCCCCCCCCCTCAGCCCAGCCAGGAATGAGATGAGAGGCAGGCTGAGAGGTCCATGGGAGCCATGGTTGTGACTCAAGTCTGTGGCCTGTGTGCCATGGGGAGTCCCTAAAGTGGCACAGTCCACCTCTGCCAGGAGAGAGGCTGGAAGGAGGATGCAGCCTGGCATTCCAGGGGAGTGGGGGGAAGCAGGCAGAGCCAGGGGCTTGGATGGCCCCACTCACAGGCCCCCCATGCCTCCAGTCCCTACTCCCTCTGCAGCACCCCAGCACCCACCCAGGCTGGGCAGGAGAGGCACAACCCTGCCAAAAGTGGGAGCAACACAAGGGAGGTCCCTTGTACAGAAAACTCAAAAGTGCACCCTATCCTGCCATGTGACCCAAAATTCCTCTCCTCAGGGTTGAGCCAGGACGAATGGTGTATTAGAATGTTCATCATAGCCAAAAGGCAAAAAAGACCCTAACTGTTCAGAAGGAGACAAACTGTGCTACATTCACAAAATGGAATGCTACTCAGCAATAAAAAAAAGAATACCGATACAACATAATGATGAATAATGATAGAAATAAAATAGTCACAATGATGACTCTCACATCATACTGAGTGAAAGAAGGCAGACACAAAAGAAGGAAAGTACCCCACGATCCCATTTCTATGAAGTTCAAAAACAGGGAAAAGTACAGTGAAAGAAATGGACACACTGATTGCTTCAAGAGGAGTTGGAGGACTGATTACAAAGGGGCATGAGAGTATGAGAAAGTTCTTTATTTTCATTAGGGGAAGTGGTCACACGGAGTATATATTTGTCAAAGCATTCAACTGTATATTTAACACCTGTGTATTTCATATGTAAATTTTATCTAAAAATGTAAGCTAAATAGGACCATACTCAGAATTTCATGGAAAACGGTAGACCTTGCTGAACTCCTCTGTGTGGCCACTCCTCTATTCCCTGGAGGCGGCTCTCTGCGGGGAGGTTCCCCACACCCAGACAGAGAAGGCCTGCGGGCACGGGTGGGGGGTAGGGGGAGCAGGGCTGGAGGTGGAACATAGCAATGCAGCCACCTGTCATGCAGAAAAAGGGACCCTGGACAGGGCTGTGGTCATCAGAGACTTCAGGAAGATGTCCCTTTGGAGCAAAACTACATCAGAATACCTGCTAGGAGTAGCGAATGCATCACCTATAGATCTGGTCAAAATGCAGATTCTGAAAAATCCTACCTAGTATATTCAGAGTAAATACGGATACTGTGTGCCTAGAACAGAAACTGTGAAGAGGATAATTAACAGCAGGTCTTAGTCGGGGAGGGGAGGGGAAGTTTATTAAAAATATTTTTAAATTTAACAGAAGGATTGACTAATAGAAGGGACAGTTAGAAATAGGGAAAATAAAGTCCACATTGCTCAGTAAAATAAAGGAACTTGAAAGATAAAGGGAAAATCTTGAAAGTTCTCAGAGCAAGAGAAACAGTACAAAGATATTACTGACATGAGAACAAAACCAAACATCACAGACTACCTGGATATGAGAGGACAAGGCAGGGGCATCTGGGTGACACAGGTGACTGGATATCCTACTCTTGATTTCAGCTCACGTTGTGATCTCAGGATGCTGAGATTGAGCCCTGTGTCAGGCTCTGCACTGACTCTCCCTCTGCAGTGCCCCCAAAACGAATACATCTTTTTTTTAAAAATCAGGGGCAGGGTTGACAGCGGGGAGTGCCTGGGTGGCATAGTTGGTTCAGCAAACAACTCTTGGTTTCAACTCGGGTCATGTTCTCAAGGTCATGAGATCGAGCCCCACATTGGGCTCCCCGCTGAGCCTGAAGCCTAATTTTATTAAAAATAAATTTAAGGTTAATGTCACAAGAGTGGGGCTCACATCCAATAGGATTAGTGTCCTTATAAGACATCAGATAGCTCATTTGCATTCCCTATAGAAATGCAGAGGGGGCGCCTGGGTGGTTCAGTGGGTGGCAAACCTTATATCAGATAAATTAGATTTTAAGCCAAAGAGTACAAAAAGAGATCAGGAAGGACACTATATCATACTTAAAGGGTCTGTCCAACAAGAAGATCTAACAATTTTAAATATCTAGGCCCCTAACATGAGAGCAGGCAATTATATAAACCAATTAATAACAAAATCAAAGAAACACATCGACAATAATACAATAACAGTAGGGGACTTTAACACCCCCCCTCACTAAAATGGACAGATCATCCACCAAAAGATCAACAAGGAAATAAAGGCTTTCAATGACACACTGGACCAGATGGCCATCACAGATATATTCAGAACATTCCATCCCAAAGCAACAGAATACACATTCTTCTCTAGTGCACATGGAACATTCTCCAGAATAGATCACATCCTGGGTCACAAATCAGGTCTCAACTGGTACCAAAAGATTGAGATCATTCCCTGCATACTTTCAGACCACAATGCTCTGAAGCTAGAACTCAATCACAAGAGGAAAAGTTGGAAAGAACTAAAATAAATGGAGGCTAAAGAGCATCCTACTAAAGAATGAATGGGTCAACCAGGAGATTAAAGAAGAATTGAAAAAAATTCATGGAAAGAAATGAAAATGAAAACATAACTATTCAAAATCTGTGGGACACAGCAAAGGTGGTCCTGAGAGGAAAGTATATAGCGATACAAGACTTTCTCAAGAAACAAGAAAGGTCTCAAGTATACAACCTAACCCTACACCTAAAGGAACTGGAGAAAGAACAGCAAAGAAAGCCTAAACCCAGCAGGAGAAGAGAAATCATAAAGATCAGAGCAGAAATCAATAAAATAGAAAAAAACAAACAAAACAATAGAACAAATCAACGAAACTAGGAGCTGGTTCTTTGAAAGAATGAATAAGATTGATAAACCCCTGGCCAGACTTATCAAAAAGAAAAGAGAAAGGACCCAAATAAATAAAATCATGAAGGAAATAGGAGAGATCAGAACCAACACCAAAGAAATGCAAACAATTATAAGAACATATTTTGAGTAACTATATGCCAGCAAATTTGACAATCTGGAAGAAATGGATGTATTCCTAGAGACATATAAACTACCAAAACTGAACTAGGAAGAAATAGAAAACCTGAACAGACCCATAACCAGTAAGGAGATTGAAGCAGTCATCAAAAAATCTCCCAACAAACAAGAGCTCAGGGCCAGAACGCTTCCCAGTGGAATTCTACCGAACAGTTTTTTTTTTTTTAAAGATTTTATTTATTTGACAGACAGAGACCACAAGCAGGCAGAGAGGCAGGAAGAGAGAGAGGAAGGGAAGCAGGCTCCCTGCCGAGCAGAGAGCCCGACGCGGGGCTCGATCCCAGGACCCTGGGACCACGACCCGAGCTGAAGGCAAAGGCCTCAACCCACTGAGCCACCCAGGCGCCCTCTACCAAACATTTAAAGAATTATTACCTATTCTCCTGAAACTGTTCCAAAAAATAGAAATGGAAGGAAAACTTCCAAACTAATATTAGGAGGCCAGCATTACCTTGATCCCAAAACCAGATAAGGACCCCATCAAAAAGGAGAATTACAGACCAATACCCTTGATGAACACAGATGCAAAAATTCTCACCAAAATACTAACCAATAGGATCCAACAGTACATTAAAAGAATTATTCACCACGACCAAGTGAGATTTATTCCTAGGCTGCAAGTTTGGTTCAACATCTGCAAATCAATCAACGTGATACAACACATTAATAAAAGAAAGAACAAGAACCATATGATACTCTTAATAGATGCTGAAAAGCATTTGACAAAGTACAGCATCCTTTCTTGATCAAAATTCTTCAAAGTGTAGGGATAGAGGGTACATACTTCAATATCATCAAAGTCATCTATGAAAAACCCACAGCAAATACCATTCTCAATGGAGAAAAATTGAGAGCTTTTCCCCTAAGGTCAGGAATACGGCAGGGATGTCTACTGTCACCACTGCTATTCAACATAGTACTAGAAGTCCTAGCCTCAGCAATCAGACAACAAAAAGAAATAAAAGGCATCCAAATCAGGAAAGAAGAAGTCAAGTTCTCACTCTTTGCAGGTGATATGATACTTTATGTGGGAAACCCAAAAGACTCCACTCCAAAACTGCTAGAACTCCTACAGGAATTCAGTAAAGTGTCAGGATATA